TGGTGGCACTGACTGGGGAAATGGGCACAGTATGCACTGTGAGCCTGACACAGAAGCTGGCAACAGTGGCAGACAACTGACTGCTATTCAATCTATAACAGTGAAAAAAGTTTTTTGTTTTTAAATCCAAGCTATTGGATGTAAGTGGTGGCACTGACTGGGGAAATGGGCACAGTATGCACTGTGAGCCTGACACAGAAGCTGGCAGCAGTGGCAGACAACTAAGTGCAATTACATTACATAGAAAAAAAATCAAAAAAAAGCATACCCTAACCCTAACCTAGCTATGCTTTTCCCTATCTAATGAACAGCAGCTACACTTTCCCTCCTCTTACTAAGCATGCAGCTTGAGAATGAATCTAAAATGGATGCTGTCCAGTAGGTGGGAGGGTCTGCTAGGGAGGCTGTGCTGCTAATTGGCTGGAATGTGTCTGCTGACTGTGAGGTACAGGGTCAAAGTTTACTCAATGATGACGAATAGGGGGCGGGTCGAACCGCGCATATGTTCGCACGCCGTGGCGAACGCGAACATGCTATGTTCGCCAGGAACCGTTCGCCGGCGAACCGTTCGGTACATCACTATTTGTGGCATGTATATTTTTGAAGTTATTAATATTTTATAAAAACTGTATTTCTCTGCCTGTGATAATTAAGTTAGTCTATTGTGTTGAGAAAATTGTATCACAGGCAGAGGGGAAGAGATGTGTGGGAGGTAACATGTATCCAATTGGTGAATGTACTAATTATTGTGGGTGTTTCCCTTGCATGGGAGCATTGCATAAAAGCAGGGAATGTGAAATTAAACGTCAGTTAAGTTCTGCTCCTGATACTGTGTGTCGTCCAGTTATTGGGAAAGGTGATGGGATACTATTGGATTTTACTGCTGATTTTGCTTGTTATGCTGCTGGATTATTTAAAGGACCACTATAGTGCCAGGAAAACAAACTCGTTTTCCTGGCAATATAGTAATAATAGGTTCCTCCTACCCTCATGGCCCCCCTTCTGCCGGGTGCTCAAGGGAGAGGAAGGGGTTAAACACTTACCTTTCTCCAGCGCCGGGCTTCCTCGGCGCAGGGGACTCTCCTCCTCCTTTGGACGTCATCGGCTGAATGTGCATGCGCGGCAAGAGCAGCATTCTCAATGCTTTCATATGGACGCTGGCGTCTTATCACTGTTAAAATCACAGTGAGAAGCGCCTCTAGCGGCTGTCAATGAGACAGCCACTAGAGGCTGGATTAACCCTTTACAGCTGCAGGGTTAACCCTAGATGGACCTGGCACCCAGACCACTTCATTGAGCTGAAGTGGTCTGGGTGCCTATAGTGGTCCTTTAAGCATTGAGTCGATTCTCAGTAAACTGTCAGCAATATTTACTAAAGTGTGGATTGCCTAGAATTCAAAGTAAATTCCACATTGTAGGCCAAAAGCTGAACTGGTAAGATTATCAGTTATGTTACCACTTGGCCTATTTTGGAGTAAAAGTTGCAATTCACTCTGACTTCCTGACAGTTTACTTGTTAGTGAATAACCCTTTGTGACTTGCTCTTTTACTTGATGTGTCCTTAGCCTCGTGCAGAGCCCAGATGGCGGCTTTCACTGACACAATGGACGTACAGTATATTTAATACACAGTCTACTGATGTTAGAAGGCATTTTGGAGAAACTTATAACGTTTGACAGATAATTTAGACAGAAGCAAAGATACACTGTCCTCGATTGAAAAATAAATCATAAAACATAACATTTAATGGTAATTCTTAGATAAAAAACACACACACCACTAAGTAAACCTAAATATGTGAACAAAAAAAGAATTAGTGAGGGAACGTAACAAAGTAATAAGGTCAGTAATTATATATAGGAAAACCTACATATGCCACGTAGGATGCACAGCATTGAACTGAAATAAACAGGCTTTTAAAAAATCCCAGCCTGAGTGGTCTCTGGGAGTAACTACATTGTTATATCAAAAAGAAGAAGCAAAGGTGAAATTGAAACCGTATCATAACCAGAGAAAGATTTAACAGCAATCAGAAAGCTGTAACGTTATGAGAAAAATACTGAGTATCGCCTAAACAGTTATTTGAAATGTCAGGAGGATAAATATAGTGTGACGGGCCGCCTGGCACCCCGACCGGGTACCTCCATCAATCGCTGCTTCCTAGCACTTGTGAGCACCATAAGCACTGCACTGGAACACTATAACCACCGCAGCCCCTTAGCCGCCGCAGCTTGGCTGGGGTCTCACCGTACCATCTCACCCTGGACCAAACTCCTGGATCCAACTCCCAGTGAGACAACCTCTCATCCGAGAGAGTATAGCAGATATAGCAGTGTAGCTCTTACAAGAGCTAGTGATGATAATTCAAGGGAGTATAAGAGTATAGCAATCCCCAGAGTGTGAATATAGCTCTCCAATCCCCCAAACATGAGCCTAGACTTCATGAAGGGTAAAAGGAATCTGTTTAATGGCAGCCACAGCTGGCCTTATATGCAGGTACCCATGCAAGGGCACCCCCCGTGGACCTGAGAGTAGACTACAGTAAAAAACATACACACGATTACATTGGCTCTTGGGTCCAGGACACTCCCATACAAAATAGGTCAATCCCTCCTCTGTACTGGAAGATAATTGAGTCAGCACTGTGTTAAACTTAATTATCTCCAGGCACAGAAAACATACATTTTTACAAAACCCCAAAATACCTTTAAGAATATATAAAACCCCCTGTTACATCCCCTGATAGCTACGATCTGAGTGACCAACAAATTCAAAAATCTCCCAGATCAGTTCAGGGGTTCAGGATTTTCCTGGAAGTCATAATTTTGACCGACCGTGCACATGGTCCTATGCCTAAAACAATTCCAGGGAAGCAGGGCTAACGGTCCGTTTCTCTCTTTCTGGAGTACAAAAGTATATAAATCACACGAACAGAGCCTTTTAACCCCTTAAGGACACATGACATGCCTGACATGTCATGATTCCATTTTATTCCAGAAGCTTGGTCCTTAAGGGGTTAAAGTGCATTGGGCAATGTATATTGCAGGATCCATAGTCCTGATGCAGGAGCTTGTGGCAAATGACCAAACCAAAGGGCGTTTGACACATATAGTAAATCCTAATGAAATCCTAGATAATAGCAGATAGAATCCTGCAGTGCTACCTGAATGACAGGTGGTATGAAAACATTACTGAACCGAATAATAAATAAGGAAGACGCAGGAGCAGAGAGAGACTAGTCTAAAGTCGAAAGGATAAATCTGTGCCTTGGAGGGCACATTGTCATATTTAAATAACTAGTCTATCCATTGTACAGCGCTATGGAATTTGCTGGCGCTATATAAATAATAATAACTGCCCGACAGATCACCTAATCTCCAGCAGATAAAAGAAAGCAGTATTAGGTGTAATGATAAATCACGGTCTCGGATCTCTTGCAGGAGACCAGTATCGCTGCTACTGATTCAATATCACCTCTGCGTCTTCTTTTTTGATATAACAATGTAGTTACTCCCAGAGACCACTCAGGCTGGGATTCTTTAAAAACCTGTTTATTTCAGTTCAATGCTGTGCATCCTACGTGGCATATGTAGGTTTTCCTATTTATAATTATTGACCTTATTACTTTGTTACGTTCCCTCACTAATTCTTTTTTTGTTCACATATTTAGGTTTACTTCGTGGTGTGTGTTTATCTATGAATTACCATTAAATGTTATATTTTAGGATTTATTTTTGCTCCTTCTCTGTCCTGTCATTTTCCTCGATATCAATAGCTTCCAATGTTTTCTTTAAACAAAATGTTTGACAGATAACATGCAGCAGATCTGTAGAGATTTGATGATCAGATGTGTGAACGTTCCAAGTTATTCTGTTTGTGATTCTCTGACAGGCTCCAGCGACTCCTTTCCCTGGCCCTGCGACGGGTTCAGTTTTTGGAGACTCAGGTGAGGAAATTGTTGACTATATGCAAAACAGATAGAAATCAATTTGTTTAGATTGACGGTTTTACGAATGGCGCATGTTTGCATAGACCCAAAATGTCCCACTTCCAATTGGTTGGAACAGACACACTTTGCCTTAACTAATGCAGTGGGAAGAGTCTAATTAAGGAATGCACAGAGTTTTAGTGCATACTGTATATATTAAAACATTTGAAGAACGGGTCACTGAGCCAATTCACAATAGAGGAATGATTTGACATGCTGACACATGAACCACTCAGGATTATTCACTGAATAATGAAATGTAACAGGTCTGAATAGCAACATTTAGGCTAAACCAGTCAAACTGTGATCATAGCGGAGTTAGAGACTTTTTCCATATCCACTATTTTGGCCTTAATTGTGCCATTTAAATTTCAATACATTACAGGCCAGAGTTTAATGAATAACTGACTGTGTTAATAAAACAAGTATGTGCCAAATACTGCAATCCTACATCACTTATTATTATGAGATTTCATGTAATTCTCTGATTTCTCTCCCCAGTTACAGCATTTCAGAAACTGGGAAGGCTTTTCTGCCAAACTTTCGGTGAGTGGAATTGATCTTTCCATAAACTGCACTTCACTTACTTGTGTTTTGTGTCCTTAATGTTTATTAATGTTCTCTCCCTCTGCAGAGCACAGGGCACACCGATATATCACAGATGTTACACAGATTAGACCTGGAAAGGTAAGACAAGACACTATTATAGCTCTCCATACCCTGACCATGCGTGGGAGTTTTACAGTAGGAAGTGTGATTTATTACTGAGGAAATGTCCTTTATTGAGTTTGTGAGATCCATGGGGGCACAATCTGTATAATTCCTTCCCTGCCCAAAACTCGCCTTTCAGTAATCACTCCTTTTATTGAGTAAGAGTGAGAGGAATGCAACACTAACTTTAAAATTAAATATATTTAGTTAAAGGTATTCCTTTATTGTTTTAGATTCAGCCCCTATCTTCCCCCATTTTAATAAAAAAAAAAAAAAAGTAAAGCCATTAGACTTACTTGTTAACCAGCGCCAGGACTAGTTCCTCCCTGCAGTTGCTCCACCTTTTATGAGATCATCAGTATTGATGATCTTTTTCCAATCCAAGGATTCTCATAGAGAAGCATTGAAGACATTCGCCATATGCATGTAAACGTCTGTCCCCCTAATCCGATGGTCTCATAGAGCTTGGTGGTGTCATGCTGGGTGCGTAGATTCCCAATGTGAGGACATAAGAAATTTGGAAGGCTTTCAATGAGGAAGCACTCTAGAGCAGGGGTTCTCAACCCAGTCCTCAGGACCCCCCCTACCAGTCCAGGATTTGGGGATTACCTGGGGGTGTCTCAGGTGTTTAGAAAAAGGGGAAAAAACACCTTAGACTCTAAGGTGTTTTTTTTTCTTTTTCTAAACACCTTAGACACACCCAGGTAGGGGGTCCTGAGGACTAACGTTGAGAACCCCTGCTCTAGAGGAACAGTTTATGACAAATGTTGCCATTTCTCTGGAGGTGGCAGGGTCAAGAAGTAATGTGGCCAGTGAATGGACAGCTGGACTGGCCACATTCTGCTTGTGTAGGTCTTTGAATTCCACGACTGACCTGTGTCTGGAAGTCGGAGAGCCCTCTCTGTGATGTTTTGCATAGTAATATGTTTGCTCATGTTGTTCCAGGGCAGATGGACACATTGCAAATGGCGAAAACAAGGAAGAAACTAATGAAAACTCGTCATTCACAGGTACAGATATCATGTTGACATCGTTGTTATACAGACTCTGTGATCATATTGTTCTGAGCTTTCTTCAATACATTTCAGAGTTGCTTGAAGACACCTCACACAGGTACTAAAGAGGAACCAGTAACATTCATGAAGAGGGCTTACTACAAATGGGGGAAACATCTTGAAGAACGTGATTTGTCGAAGTTTATTTTCATACATCCACTCAGGGACGTTGCAGTAGTGAAACAACAAAGTACTATTCTCAGTAATCAGGTGGTTTCATTGTAGTGAGCTTGTGCACAAAGACTTTGCTCTCTGTTTCAGGGTCTATTGGATCCCAAATACACTAAGCAGGTTTAGTTTTTTGTAAAGACCGCCCAAGTGATAGGTCCTCTTGCATGGTGGCTCCACAGTGGACAGAGTTACCAAAATCTCTCCATTCACCTGCCAACATCTTTCTATCTTTAGCTACTGGCAGACAAAGCCACCAGGAGCTGCGTTAACGTTATGCTAAACCGTGCACCTACCATAGTTTATTCATCCAGTAGTTTATATATATTGAAGCTATACACAGTTCTACGTTACAGGTTCTCATGCTCTCTCAGTTGTAGAGCTGTGCTCCTCTTGTCATTTCTTTTCTTTAAAAAAAATAAAAAAAAAAAATAATAAAGTGCAGTATTCTTGACATTCTTGCTATATATACACACCTTTTTCTTGGCATTTGAATTAGGGAATAGCACTCACCTAACGTTTAAGGGACACACAGCACTCACCTAACGTTTAAGGGCCACACCAGACCCCTTAAGCACTTTAACTTGTTGAAAAGCGTTATGTGTGCATAGTATGTGGTCTTTTTTCCATTTTGTGGAAAATTAAAATTCCAACATTGAGAAAACGCGTCCAGGGTACTTACATCACATGTTTTTCAGGTAGTGGTGTGTGTGGTCTCTCCCTTGTCTGGCAGTAGCAGGTATTGCGACAATTTGTTATTCCTCTCATTCATCTGTCCTATTTTTGCAAAGTTTGTTTCATTTGCCTGGATATCTATGCTATTTTTGGCGACATGTCATCTGTTTAATATATTTTTCCTACTTGAACCCTCGAGTACCTCTGAGGGCTGCCATGACAATCTAATGACATTTGTTTATGGCCTTTTCTTTATTTTTATTTTAAATATATCAATAAATGTGCATTTTTTTCATACTTTCCATATTCTCCATTTAATTTTTTCTATAGACTATAGGGGCTCAATCCTGTGTGCGGACTATTGTATTTATATTGTGAAATATTTTCTATGATTGGGAAAAGTCCAGCACCAGGATCTAAACCCCATTAACCATATGATCTCAGGATTCCTATCTGTGCACTAACAATCTACCTGATACCAACGATACGATAAAACTTGGTGTTGCAGCATCGTTTGCGGTTGGGATTTTATATCTCATCCACATTTTTTGTTTCAACTTATTGTCTATTTCTCTGGTACCTTAAAAAATAGTGAACAGAAAATGCTCATAAAAAATTACTTGCAAAAATAAAAGGAGGGATCAGTCAATATGTAATAAAGTATTTAAAAAAAAGGATTTTATTGACCATTATCAGAATGCATTATACACATGATTGAAATGAAATCAATATCCACCTCTGATAACACACAGACAGGTGAAGAAAGTGAGAAACAGCTTCACAGCATACTGAGTAAGAGCTCAGGGAGAAACCATGGGCTCGTACAATTTGCACAGCAAACAGAAGGATTTCCAGGAGGCCGGGAGATACATCCCGAACTCAGTATGACGGGTCCCTGCGGAGAGAAACAACAGTGATTATAATAAGAGTCCTAAAGACTATGCTACGTTTTATGAATAAAATGGACCATCCATCATAGAGACTTTGGAAGGATTACTTGCACACAATGGTTATGAAATATTATTAGCATATTGATAGTTTAAGGCAAGCATGTCAAACTTGCTGCTTTGTGCTGAGGATGTGACCAGCCGCAAGAGAGGAAAGATATTTCCTATCTGATTCTTGTCTTCCCTCCCACGACTGCAAGAGAGTAGATTGTCTGTCTGCAGAGCAGGCCAGCCACTCCCTCTTCCCTCCTGCTCGCAGTTCCAGCCACTTCCCCTTCCCTCCTGCTCGCAGTGCCAGCCACTCCCCCTTCCCTCCTGCTCGCAGTGCCAGCCACTCCCCCTTCCCTCCTGCTCGCAGTGCCAGCCACTCCCCTTCCCTCCTGCTTGCAATGCCAGCCACTCCCCTTCCCTCATGCTCGCAATGCCAGCCACTCCCCCTTCCCTCCCAGTTCCTTCCTGCTCGCAGTGCCAGCCACTCCCCCTTCCCTCCTGCTCGCAGTGCCACCCACTCCCCCTTCCCTCCCCGTTCATTCCTGCTCGCAGTGCCAGCCACTCCCATTCCCTCCTGCTCGCAGTGCCAGCCACTCCCCGTCCCTCCTGCTTGCAATGCCAGCCACTTCCTCTGTCGTGCCAGCACTTCCCCTTCCCTCCTGTTGCAGTGCCAGCCACTCCCTTCCCTCCTGCTTACAATGCCAGCCACTCCCTTCCCTCCTGCTTTGCCAGCCACTCCCCTTCCCTCATGCTCGCAGTGCCAGCCACTCCCCCTTCCCTCCCTGTTCCTTCCTGCTCGCAGTGCCAGCCACTCCCCCGTTCATTCCTGCTCGCAGTGCCAGCCACTCCCCCTTCCCTTTCATTCCTGCTCGCAGTGCCAGCCACTCCCCCTTCTCTTCCCGTTCATTCCTGCTCGCAGTGCCAGCCACTCCCCTTCCCTCCTGCTCGCAGTGCCAGCCACTCCCCCTTTCCTCCCTGTTCCTTCCTGCTAGCAGTGCCAGCCACTCTCCCTTCCCTGCTGCTCGCAGTGCCAACCACTTCCCCTTTCCTCCCCCTTCCCTCCTGCTCGCAGTGCCAGCTACTCTCCCTTCCCTCCTGCTCGCAGTGCCAGCCACTCCCCCTTTCCTTCCTGCTCGCAGTGCCAGAGGAGCGTCTGGCCTGCTTGAGCAGAGAAGAGCTGGAACTGGAAGACGACTCATCTTCAGGTAAGGGAAAAGGGGCTTGGGGGACCTTCCTATGTAGTGTGTTCAATTTGGGAGGGGCGCAGTGTAATATTTGGGGGAGGGAGTAGGGCAGTGTGTTAAATTGAAGAGATGACAATATATTAATGTGGAGAAGGAAGGAGGGGGGCAGTCTATTAGGGTGGTGGGAGGGGCAGTGTGTTAAATTGGGGTAGGGAGGGGGCAGTGAATTAAATTAGAGTGGAGGGAGGAGGGGCAGTGTATTAGATTGGGTGGATGGGGCAGTATATTGGCTTGGTGGGCAGTGTATTAGATTGGGTGGAGGGGGCAGTATATTGGCTTGGTGGGCAGTGTATTAGATTGGGTGGATGGGGCAGTATATTGGCTTGGTGGGCAGTGTATTAGATTGGGTGGATGGGGCAGTATATTGGCTTGGTGGGCAGTGTATTAGATTGGGTGGATGGGGCAGTATATTGGTTTGGTGGGCAGTGTATTAGATTGGGTGGATGGGGCAGTATATTGGCTTGGTGGGCAGTGTATTAGATTGGGTGGATGGGGCAGTATATTGGCTTGGTGGGCAGTGTATTAGATTGGGTGGAGGGGGCAGTATATTGGCTTGGTGGGTAGTGTATTAGATTGGGTGGATGGGGCAGTATATTGGCTTGGTGGGCAGTGTATTAGAATGGGGGATGGGGCAGTGTATTAGATTGGGTGGA